ATATATATATATATATATATATATATATATATATATATATATATATATATATATATGGGTCCATTTCTGGGTTTTCTTTTTGTTTTTAATTTTTTTTTAGCTGAGCCATCCTGCCACCTGTTGGCAGCTCCGTGGCTGCTCAGCTCAGGCCGGGACTCAAACCGCTGTTGCTCAGAGCTTAAACTCTTGAGCGAGCTCTTAACTGAGCCACTCGGCCGGCCCTATTTCTGGGTTTTAAATTCTATCTCATTGGTTTGTGTGTCTGTTTTTCTGCCAGTACCATGCTGTTTTGATTACTGTCACTTTGTAGTACAAATTGAAGTCAGGGAGTGTGATACTACCACACTTGTTCTTTTTTCTTAGGGTTGTTTTGGCTATTCAGGATCTTGTATTATTCCATACAATTCTGATATTTTTTTGTTCTATTTCTCGAAAAAAAATGCCATTGGGATTTTGATGGGGATTGCACTAAATCTGTATATTGCTTTGGGTTATATGGCCATTTAAACTAGGTTGATTCTTCCAGTCCATGAAGACAGAATATCATTCCATTTCTTTGTCTTCTTCATTTTCCTTTAACAATGTCATATAATTTCCAGTGTATAGGTCCTTCACATCCTTTATTAAGTTTGTTCCTAGGTATTTTATTCTTTTTGCTGCAATTGCAAAAATGAATTAATTTTTCATTTTTTTCCTGAAATTTCATTGTTAGTATATAGGAATGCAATGGATTTTTTGTACATTGATTTTGTAGCCAGCAGCTTTACTGTATTTGTTTGTTGTTTCTAATAGTTTTTTTGTGTGGAGTCTTTAGGGTTTTCTATGTAAAGAATCACATCATCTGAAAAAAGTAACAATTTATCTTCTTCGTTCCCAAATTGGATGCCTTTTATTTCTGTCTCTTGCCTGATTGCTCTGGCTCGGACTTCCAATATTATGTTGAATAACAGTGGTGACAGGAGGCATCCATATCTTGTTCCTGATTTTAGAGAAAAAGCTTTAGGTTTTTCTTCATTAAGTATATTAGCTGAGGTTTGTCATATATGGCCTTTATTGTGTTGAGGTACTTTCCTTCTTAAAACACCCATTTTTAAAAAGTGTTTTAATCACAAATGGATGCTGCATTTTGTCAAATGCTTTTTCTGAAACAATTGATATAATCATGTGATTTTTTTGTCTTCTATTTTGATTATGTGGTGTATCACATTGATTGATTTGCCTATATTGAACCATCCTTGTACCCCTGGAATGAACCCCACTTGATCATGATGTGTAATCTTTTTGTTGCATTGTTGTGTTCCATTTGCTACTTTTTTTTTTTTTTTAGGTTTCTTGCATCTGAATTCATCAGAGACAATGGTCTGTGGTTTTCCTTTTTTCTTCTGTGTTATTCGTATCAGGTTTTGGTTTTAGGGTAATGTTGGCCTCATAAAATGAATTAGGAAGTATTGCTTCTTAAATTTTTTGGAAGAGTTTGAGTAATATTTGGTAGAATTCACTAGTGAAGTCTTCTGGTCTAGTGAAGTTGTCTGGTCTTCAACTTTTACTTTTGGGAAGGTTTTGGATGATTGTTTCAATTAACTTACTGTTGATCAGTCTATTTAGAGTTTCCAATTTTTCATGATTTAGTCTAGGAAGGTTATATATTTCAAAAAACTTGTCTACTTCTGGGTTATTGAATTTGGTGGCATATAGTCCTTCATAGTATTGTTGTATAACCTTTGTATTTCTGTGGTATCTGTCATAACATATCTTTCATTTGTTTTTGTTTATTTGTGTCTTTTCTCTTTTTTCCTTAGTCTAGCTAGGGGTTTGTCAATTTTATTCATCTTTTCAAAGAACCAGCTCTTTATTTGCATTTATTTTTTCTATTGTCTTTTTCTTATCTATTTCATTTCGTTCTGCTCTAATTTTTATTATTTCCTTACTTTTGTTGACTTTGTGTTTCATTTGTCCATTTTCTAGTTCTTTAAGACGTAATGTTAGGCTGTTTACTTGGGATTTGTTTTTCTTGAGATAGGCCTGTAATGATATAAATTTCCCTCATAATACTGCTTTTGCTCCATCCCTACAGTTTTGATATGATGTATTTTTATTCTCAATTGTTTCTATGTATTTTTTATCTCTTCTTTTATTTTTTCTTTGACCTAGTCAATCTTAGTAGCATGTTGCTTAATTTCTATACATTTGTGGGGTTTTTTGGCTTTTCTTTTTGCAGTTGGTCTCCAATTTCAACATAATGTGGTCAGAGAATAGGCTTGGCATGTTTTCAATCTTCTTAAATTTGCTGAGGCTAGTTTTATGTCCCAACATATGGCCTATCCTTGAAAATGTTCCATGTACACTAGAAAAGAATGCATAGACTGGTGTTATAGGATGAAGTGCTTTGTAAATGTCAATTATGTCCATTTGGACTAGTGTGCCATTTAAGGATGATATATTCTCATTGATTTTCTGTTTAGATGACCTACCCATAGCTCTCAATGGCATATTTAAGTTCTCTACTATAATTGTGTTTTTGTCAGTTTCTGCCTTTAGTTCCTTTTTTTTTTTTTTTTTTTTTTTTTTTTTTTTTTTTTTTTTTTGTTTGATGTGGACTGTGTATTTATGTAGGTAGAAAAAAGTGCACAGAGCATTGAGGGACCGGGGAGAGGAACGTCTTGGCCTGGCCTCTAAGTCAGTTGAAACTGCAAGGGCCCTCCTGCAAAGTGAAGGACTCCCGCACGTCAGAGTACGGCCCACTCTGGGGGCATGTGGCTTTGGGATTGGCTGGACCTTTTCTGAACTTGCCCTTGGAGAACAGAGACTAGGGTACCTTAGGCGAGTCTCCCCAGCGGGCCTCACAGGGCGGGGCTGAGGGGAGCCCCACGCTCAAAGAGCAAGGCCTCGAGGTGTGGAGAGCTCAGCGTTTGGGGTAAGGGCGGGGTCTTTGGGGCCGCGGTCTCCCGGCGGGGCGAACCCAGAGGCAGTCAGCCGAAGAGCTTGAGGAAGCAGGGCTGGCAGTAGGGCTTCCCAGCGCGCTCCTGGAAGGAGCCCTTGGTGAGCGGGCGTAGGCAGAAGGTGCAGGTGAAGTGGTTCGGGTGGAAGCGGCGGCCCAGCGCCGACACGCAACGGCCGGTCACCGGGAGACCACAAGTGGCGCACAGGGAACCGCGTCGCGCGTGGAAATGGTTCTCGCACAGCGGGCGGCCCTCGTGCTCGAAAAAGCTGCCTGCCGAGAAGGGCGCGAAGCATTCCCTGCAGACGAAACAGTCTGGGTGCCAGAGCGCGCTGAGTGCTGAGATGTAGTTGTCCAGGATGGGGCCTTGGCAGCCCTGGCAGCGCGGGGCGAACAGCTGCAGGAAGTCCTGGCGGCAGTAGGGGCGGCCCTCGCGCTCGTGAAAACCCTCATCTCCGAAGGGCTCCCCACAGCTGACGCAGCAGAAGTGCTCTGGGTGCCAGTGGGTGCCCAAGGCGGTAACCATCTTATGTCTGATGGGTTGATTGCAGAGGCCACATCGTGGGGAGAAGCGCTCAAAGTAGCACTCGGGGCAGAAGGGAGCGCCATCCTTCTCGAAGAAGCTGCTGCCTCCGAGGGCGGTGGAACAGCCGTTACAAAGGAAGTGCTCAGGGTGCCACGCACGCCCCAGCGCCGTCACCACNTTTTATTGGGGAATTGGGGAAGGGGAACAGCCAAGTTGTTGTCCTTCAATCTTAGTTGTGGAGGGCGCAGCTAGCTCAGCTCCAAGTCCAGTCGCCATCTGGCCGTCCATTGGCAGCTCGCAGCTGCTCAGCTCAATGTGCCGTGTTCAATCTTAGTTGCGGGTGGGCATAACCCACCATCCCATGCAGGAGTTGAAAAGGCAAACTTGTTGTTAAGAGCATGCTCTCTCACCAGCTGAGCCATCTGGCTGCCCGTTGGCAGCTCAGCTCAGGCACAGCTCACTGGCCCATGTGGGAATCAAACCAGTGACCCTGTTGCTCAGAGCTTGTACTCTTACTCAACTGAGCCATTGAGCCAGCCGTTTTTATCATTATTATTATGATTAATGAATTCAATTTATTTGATGACTATAGGACTATTCAGATGATCTATTCAGGACTATTTAGATTTCATCTTGGCTGAGTTTTAGTAGTTTGTGCTTTCCAAGGAATTGGTCCATTTCTTCTATCTTATTGCATTTATGAGTATAAAGTTGTTCATTATATTCTGTTATTAGCCTTTTAATGATGAAGAATCTATAGTGATATCCCATGTTTTGTGTCTGATATTGGTAATATTTATGTACTCTTTTTATCTTTGTCAGTCTTGCAAGTGTTTTATCAATTTTATTGATTTTTTTCAAAGCCTAGCCTTCGTTTCATTGATTTTTTTTTATTCTCCTGTCTTCAATTTCATTGATTTCTGCTTGTGCCCTTTTATTTCCTTCCTTCTGCTTGCTTTGAGTTCACTTTGCTCTTCTATTTACTAATTGAGGTGGGAGCTTAAATTATTGATTTTAGTTTTTTCTTTTCCAATGTAAGCATATAGTGCTATAACTTTATCACATAGCACTGATTTATTGAATAGGTGCACCCCACATATTTTGCTATGTTGTACTTTTATTTTCTTTAATTTCTATGTATTTAAATTTTTTCTTTGATATTTCCTCTTTGACCCATGGATTATTTTGAAGTGCATTGTCTAATTTCTGCCTGTTTTCAGGGATACACTTGTTGTCTTTTAGTTTCATTTTATTACAGAGAACAAACTCTGTAGGATTTCAACTGTTTTATATTTGTTGAGGCTTGTGTTATGGCCCAGGATATGGCCTATTTGGATGAATGTGCTATCTATGGGGATGCTTGAAAAGAATATGTAATCTGTTATTGTTAGGTGGTATGTTAAAATAATGTTTATTAGATTGTGTTGGTTGATTTTGTTGTTCAGTTGTTCAATATCCTCAGTCATTGTCTGTTTAGTAGTTTTATCAGGTGCTGAGAGGGATGTGGAAGCCCCCAACTGTAAATGTGGATTTGCCTTTCTCTCCTTTCTGCATTATCAACCTATACTTCATATATTTTTAAGGCTCTGTTGCTTAGTGCATACACATTTAAGATGTTTATATGTCTTGCTGTATTGATCCTTTTATAATTATGTAATGTCCATCTTCATCTCTAGTAATTTCTTTCTTCAGTATTCATATATGTAGCCACTCCTGCTTTTTGGATTTATTAATGTTTGCATGGTATATCTTTTTCCCATCCTTTCAGTCGCAACTTTCCTGTTATTGTATTTGATGGAAGTTCTTATAGACAGAATATTGTTCTACCATGTTTTTTCCATGTTTTTTGATCCATTCTTCCATCAGTGTCTTTTAATTAGTATATTTAGAAGCTTTTACATTGAAGATAATAATTGATATGCTGGGGATTAGGCTGACTTTTTTTTATTATTTTCTGTTTCTTCTGTTTCTCTTTATTCTATTTCGTACCTGACAATAGCAACCTCATCCCACAAGGGGCATCTCCCCTTCTCTGAATGTAATTTATTTCACTGTGTCTCTGGCCTCAACAGCTTGCTTCCTGGCAAGAAGTGGGGGGAGGGACCTGAGAAGCTGAGGCCTGGGCAATGAAAGCCACCTTCCCTTTCCCTGAACACTGCTGGAATCTCACATCACAAGTCTCCTGGCTCATTTCTTACCTTTCCATGTGATACTTAAATACTATTTAGAAAACTAATTTGATTTGATTTATTTATAGTATTTTAACTATATTGTCTCATATAGTTTTCTTAGTGGCTTCCCAGGTATTATACATATAGAACTGATTACAATTTATCGGTATTGATGTTTTACCACTTTGAGTGAAGTCTAGAAACTTTACTTCAATTTAGGTACTTTAACCTGCCCATTTAAAAAATATGATTGCTTTAAGTGTTTCTTCTTTGTATATTGAGCACATCAGATGGTCTTATTATTGTTAGATCAAACATCAAATATAGTCTAAAAACTTGAAAGATAGTAAATATATATAAAATTTATTGGGGTAACATTAGTTAGTAAAATTATAGAGTTTTCAATTGTACATTTCTATAATACATCATCTATATATTGCATTGTGTGTTCATCACCCAGCATCAGTTTTCCTTCAGTCATCATATATTTGATCACCTTTTTCCTCCTCTACAACCCCTACCTGCCTTATCATCTGGTAACCAATAAACTGTTGTCGGTATCTGAGTTTTGCTTCTTTCTTGCTTTCAGTTTTATGTCCCACATGAGTGAATCATATGACTCTTGACTTTTTCTGACTTATTTTGCTTAGCATAATAGTCTCAAGATCCATCCATGTCGTGAATGGCAGTATTTCATCTTTTCCTATGGCCTAATAAAATTCCATTGTGTATATGTACCACACCTTTTTTATCCAGTCATCGGTTGAAGAACACTTTAGTTGTTTCTATATCTTGGCCACAGTGAATAATGTTGCAGTGAACGTAGGTGTACATATATCTTTATGGATAAACATTTTCAGATCTTTTTGGTAGATACCCAAGAGATGGACTGCTGAGTCGTATAATTGTATTCTTAATTTTTTCAGGAACCTCCATACTGTTTTTCTTAGTGGCTGTACAAATTTTCATTCCAACTAGTAGCGTATGAGTGTTCCTTTTTCTCCAGTCTCTCCAACACTTGTTATTATATGTCTTGTTGATGATAGCCATTCTAACAGGTGTGAGGTGATATCTCATTGATGTTTTGATTTGCATTTCCCTAGTGGCTAGTGAAGTTGAGCATTTTTTTCATATATCTGTTGGCAGTTAGTATGTCTTCTTGGGAGAAGTGTCTGTTTAGATCATCTGCCCATTTTTTAATTGGATTGTTTGTTTTTTGTTGTTGAGTTGTACAAGTTCTTTATATATTTTGGATATTAGCTGCTTATCAAAGGGGTTGTTTGCAAATATCTTCTCCCATTTGGTTGGTTGACTCTTTGTCTTGATGGTTTCTTTTGCTGTGCTTTTCAGTTTGCTTTTCAGTTTGATATAATCCCATTCATTTATTTTACCTTTTACTTCTTTTGGCTTTGAGATCAGTTCATAAAATCCTTTCTGAACCCACAGCCCATAAGTTTAATACCTATGCTTATTTCTATGCAATTTATTGTTTCAGGTCTTACATTTAAGTCTGATTAATTTTGAGTTCATTTTGATATTTGATGACAGACAGCAGGCTAGTTTCATTGTGGCTTTCCAATTTTCCCAGCACCATTTATTGAAGAGGCTTTCTTTTCTCCATTGTACGTTTTTGGCT